ATTAAAGGCATGGCTGGAAAGAACTCCAGGACTCGAAGCAGAAGGATTTGATTTCTGGGGACAATTCGAAGTGAATGTTTTAAAAGGTCTAGAAGAGGAATTTGCCTTGATACAGGTATATGGTATATGTGTACTATTGAACTAGCTATAAGCAAAGACAGCTGGCAAAATAACATTCCATCATAAATTTGATTTTTGGCCCACTTACAGTCTCTCACTCACTTCACTTAATCTTCATCAGCCTCTGTCTGCAAGAAGCAGAAAAAAATTGCAAATTCTTCACCTTTAGTTCGTACTTGCATCAACAGTCCAGAGTATACACAAAATTTGGGCCCCTTAGCTGTGAGTATGGAATGTCACTATAAACAGCCCATATCTTTTTAACAGTATGTGGCAATTGGCTGCTATGATCATTTGAATTACACTGGCACATAAGCACCAGAAAATCCCTGAATATTTTATGACCTGTAGCTTTAAGTACATTTTTAATGAAAAAAAATAATAAGAATTAATCAATTTCCTGAGAATATCTGTTTATAACTTTCTAATTTACCTAAACTTTTTTATATACACTTTTCTTACCCAAAGCTGTGCAAGGATGTCTTCTTTTTACCTTGAAAACAAAATAAATCGGACTTCAAACAAATTAAGATTAAATGTTTTCAAGGCCTCTAGACCAAAATTAATGTGATACAAGTTTGTTTGGACATAAATTCATCTGAATTGTGTTGGCATCTATTTAATTGTATATTTTGTGGTAATTGCACTTTTTAAAGGTCAGTGACTCGTATTTTGTTTGAAAATACAGTTCTTACATCTAAGATGCCAACTTCAGAGTATTTATGATGAAAATAAAAGTTGCATAATGAGTCGTTCAAGTGCTTAATTTTCCCTATTGAATTCTAAAACCTGTTTTTCTTTTAAATATCAAAGGCCAAAACAGAATCAGAAGAAAAGGATGACTTACTGTCCGAATTTCAAAAACAGAGAGATGTATTACTTTCATTATTTGATGAAAAACGCCATGAACATCTCCTCAGTAAAGGTAGATTGTAATATTTTATGTAAATTTGTAAGTTTTATACATGAGATATATATATAATCACATAATAGCACTAAATTTGCAGGAGAATCAGTAACAAACTAAGGACATTTCTATTTTGCAGGAGAAAGACGACTGTCTTACAAAGCACTGAAAGGGGCCTTAATGATCTACTTCTACAGGTAATGTTAGAAGATGTATCTTTAATGCTTTCAGGCAGGAGGAGAAGGGAAGATTAAGAACAGCAGCACAGATTTATATAGGTTGGAACAGGCCTTGGAAAGTAATCTAATCCAACCCTCCACAGAAACCCTAATTAGTTAGACACAACTAGAAAGTCAGATCAGGGTGCTCAGGGCCGTGTCTAGCTGAGTTTTGAATGTCTTACGTGGCCCCTCTGGGTGTCTGGTTTGTGTCTGACCAGATGGTGCTCCTCAGATGGTAACTAGAAAATGCCTTGTTCAAACTGTTCTACCTGTCCTAGAAAGATTTGGAGTACTTTTCCAAGTAGGAGGGAAAAGGTGCAGATTAAGTCGTACGTGGCAGAAGCATTTGTTAAAATATCCATTAACATTTCAATACTTATTTAGGAAAAATATATGTAAAGTCACTAAGCACCAGTGAAGTGCTTCTTTGAAAAATACAGTATAGGCCAAGAGGTCTCACTGTCTTCTCTTTCATTTTCCAAGGGAGGAGCCTCGTTTCCAGGTTCCCTTTCAGCTTCTTACCTCCCTTATGGATCTTGATGTACTCATGACCAAATGGAGATGTAAGTTTCACTTTTTTGACTGTGACACTCCTCTTTTAGATGCAAGTAAATTTTTCTGTCTCTGAGTTATACCCAGTCTTAGAATTGAGCTTTGGAGTTAATGCTTTATGCATGATTTTTTTTGTTTGTACTTCAGCCAAAAGGAAAGATTAAGAGCTGCTTCTGTGATAATTAGATACACAGGTATAGCTGTCATTTCTATGACCTGCTATAAGTTAGGTGAATTCTTTTATTTAAGGGACAGGTATATATTTTCCAAATGTCATCATGATGTCTCTTAATATGAAAACATTCCTTCTGCTCCTTCCCTACCTAGACACACATAAGTAAATGTATTAATTCTGTATAATCAGGGCATAATAATGTATAAAAATTAGAGAGTTCATTCTGAATTAACAACAATTTCGTATTAGTTGACTGATGAGTGGCAGATTTAACTCCTACATTTCTCAAAACCTAGTAGTTCTGTATCTCTGTAAAGATCTCTGTGTGCCCTTTAACATTTCAGGGACACATCTTGTCATGACTCTTTGGTTATATCTAAATACTGAACATAAACTCAGTGTTTAGATACATGCCATTTACTTCTTTTGTATCACTCAGATAACCATGTCTGCTTGGTGCACAGAATGATTGGCAGCAAGGCTGGCACTGGAGGCTCATCAGGCTACCACTATTTGCGCTCAACAGTGAGGTAAGAATAATGTGTTTCCCCTCTTACCTGCAACAACACAGTTCATAAAACCTCTAATGCTAGGAGACATATTTCAGACAGTTCATTGGAGGCCAAAGGGCTGCTGTTTCTCGTTTGGGACTCTAGCATCGCCTCCTGGTTGTTGTACATTTACTTATCAGGCTGACATATATAAATTCCAAGCCTTCTGGGGAAAAAAAACCTTCTTTTGATCACTCATGCAAAGTGCCATGTATAATTCTCAGTCAAGGGATCCAGACGTTACTGTGATAGCAAATAATATTAACCCTCTCTTATCTAGTTTGTGTGCCAGGTAGCACAAGTTAATGAGGTGACACAGGCTGGAAATGAGTCCCGTCTACTGTGCAACTGAAGTTTCTTTATTCCTTAGTGTAACCACTAATTGCACAACCTGAGGTACTTCAATTTGGGATTGAATATAATCTTAGCCGATAGTAATTAATACTCTCAAGCTGTGTATGCAATGATCAGAAACGTTTCCTTCTGTTGGATGAAGCAGAAACTTAAAAGGGATAGTTGTGGCCTGAGGACAGAACTCTCTGAATGAGTAGAACTTTTTTTTACACAAAATTCAAGCCTTCTAGCTGCAATTGTTCTGGCAGTCCTGAACAACATTACGTAAAAAAGCACAAGGATATTTAGACCTCCTTATAAGAGGATCTTGAGGTTTGTTTTCGAAGAGAAACTGTACATAGTCACTGACTACTATGTATGGCTGCGAGCAACAATCACCATCACCACCATTGTAACAAAGGGCAGAGTAGAAAGCAGATGGTTGAACTGAATTTGAGGATTGAAGGTACATTGTCTTTTTTAGAAAGCCTTCCCAGTCTTCCTTAATTTCATGTTAACGCTCTCCTACATAAATACTACTACGTATCTACCACAAGAGTGAAGGTCTGGAGATTACACCCTATGTACTCTGCAATTTCAGAAGAAGGACATGACTATAGCAACCCCACTCCCTTTTTAAGCCTAATCTGCTCTGCCCCAGAAACAGTTAGGTTTGTATTCTTGCTCTGCAATATTCAGGAGGGTTAGTGCAGAAACGTTATTGAATTAATGAGATGGAATGATTGCTGAGGATTTAGAAATTATGGCCTTCTTATGCTGATGTATTTATTATTCCAATTGTCTTTTTCAGTGACAGATACAAGGTATTTGTGGATTTGTTCAATCTTTCAACGTTTCTAGTGCCAAGACACTGGATACCAAAGATGAACCCAACCATTCATAAATTCCTTTACATGGCAGAATATTGCGATAGTTCCTATTTCAGCAGCGACGACTCTGACTAGACTGCTTTTCTACACTAGTTGCTGTAAAGAACTTCATGACTTTCACCTTAAGTGGTGCTACCCCTCAAACAACAGCTATTCTCATGGAGTGTAGGAGTGTAAATATGTATTTATGTATGACAGCTATGTGAATAGTATGATTGGCTTGTGGAAGAAATTTAATTGTTTGTAGAAAAAATAATTTGCATTGAGTTAGCCTATACTAAGACTAAAATGATACCCCAATCCAACTCAATGACCAATTTAACTCTTAGTTGGTTTCTTAAAACCTACACCTAGAGAGAGAGAGCAAATTATATGGAATTATGAGGATCCTGACTTATTTGTACATATTTTTGTATTTATTTGTTTGCCTAATGGCTGTTACTAATTTATGTCTGGTTGAGGATATAATCAGTCTCATCATCTTCAGAGAAATATCAGTTTCTGAGCTCTACTGCAATTTCAAAAGGAATTTTGGGCTAGGAGTTTCAAAAGCTATATTTAAAAAGTAAGTCCAGAATCTGTAGGAACTGCAGCATCCTGAACTTATACATACATCAACAATCATGTTGCTACGTATAGGTTACATGTGAATGTAAATCCCTTCTGTAGAAATACTTACCGTTAAGAATAGCAGATACAAGTACTTACTTTGCACTTCAAATAAAGCAGTATTAAAGCTCATCTTCTGTTAAGTCTTCTTCTAAAGCAACCAAAAAGTTCAAACAACAGTATGACAGGCATTTAAAGTGGCTTTTATGCAAACTATCATTGAAATAAGGATAAAACTGATACATAATAAAGGTAAGTTTGGCCATAGAATATCAATAAAACTGTGTGGTCTTCTCAGTAAATGGACTCTTGTCTTTTTAAATGCTCCATTTGGAAAGACACACACCGTAGGCCTGAATTTCTGGTGTGTTCTCTGTACCATAGCAATTGTTTTCCAGTTATGGAAGTGTGCTGTTTGTTGTTTGTAAACCACTCAGGGAAGGCCATACTACACAACACTCTGAGAGTACAGAAGACTTTTCATTTTGTTAATCTGAAGTTTTCAGCCAAGTAAAATCAGTAAGTAGCAGAACCTGAATTAGTGAAACATCGCTAATTCACTTGGTCTTCCTTTAATTTAAAATATTAACAATTAGAAGGACTAAAACAGTCATATTTACAAAAGACAATTATAAACATTCATTGCATTTTTCATAAAAAGTTTATAAAAAACCTATTAACTTGGTACAGTAATTGAGTGCAAAAATTACAGAATTGCTTCAACACTTTTCATAGTAGGGTTTCTTAAAAGACACAGGTAAAGCACTGCAGATGAAAAACTCAGAGCATTTTAGAATTACACGTTTGGTTGTGAGTTCTAGTTACATTTGCCTGCAGCTGCAGTTTCACACGTCAGCAAAGCTGGAACCCCTTTTTGATTCCCAGGAAGTCTCACCTATGAATTCAATTAACGCAGGGAAATTTAACACTCACTCAATTTGATGTATTCTGTAATTGCTGACTTTCTAAATTGTTACTCATGGTTCTTTTTATATTCAAATAATTTAAAATACACTCTGTTGTACTACTGATTTTTTGATCCAAATTCCTTCTCATTTGCCACCACTGCTTTCCTTTTAATATTTTTCTATGGAATAGTATTCAACCCTGGATAGAGTTCACATTTGAGGTTTCAGTCCATCTTTGTAACCCTGCAGTTGATTCTGAGTCTTCTTATTCTGTGAGAAATTTGACACACAACACAAATTTGACATAAAAATGTTTTTAAAAACTGCAGCCATCTATTCCTGTACTGCCTAGAAGCAGGAATTGCCCTTATAGCAATTTCTTATTTTAGAAAACGTTGTTTTGAAATACATCTTCATATACAGTGTGTGTCCAAACGATATTTGTGGTCTTTGGCCCAGAGAAGTGTCAAACAAAAACTGATGACACTATATCTGCGATACCTGCAAAGGAATTAAAATTTTTTTTTATAAATACTGGAAGTGGAGACTTCCCAAAATTCCTATTCATATAATGCCATCTCTCCTCCATGCCACAACAGCAGGTGAACTGCTGGGGGGGGGGTGTGTTACATGGAATCATCTGTAGCCCTTTTATTTCTTGCTTGCCTGACACTGTGTGTAGTTGAAACCTACTCTCATGTCCAAAATTTTAGATCCTTTTTGAGGACTCAGCATTGGTGCAATCTGTGTGCTGAAAAGCAATCTAAACCTTGAAATCCTGCATCAGCGATATATAGACAACGTGAAGCTATGCAACTTTGAAAGCTCACTAAGAAACTGGAGATCACAAACTCCATTACAAGACATGTTTTTGAACACTCATACACATATAAACACAGAACAAACTAGGCTTTTAAATGTGTTCTGCTCTTTTTGTGTTGTAATCATTCCAACACTAGAAGCAAAGTTTGACGATAGTGAAGGTATCAAATGGTAATGGCTCTTCTACCCTTAAAAGTGGTGTCAGAGGTTCTAAATCAGAAGACATCATCTGTGGGGGAAATGAGCAAATACTGTCCTTTGCTGGATTGTTCTTGTGTGGTACACTGCAAAAAATGTGAAAGATTCTGCTTTTTGAGAGAACGGATTTTGAAAATAATACATGTATTCTCCCTGCCACCTCTACGATTGACTTGCTTTACCACTATTTCTAAATTTCCCTTTCAAAATTGTTTCTTTACACAAAACCAGTAAGAACAAAAGATTCAGCAACATGAAAAAGCTATGACTGGATACATTGTTCTGATCTTTACTGAGTGCAGGCAAACTGAATGTTATCTGTTTTTATTTGCAGAAGATTTAGATAAGCTAACACCAGGGCAGGAGATGGAACTAGCATTTAAAGGATATACTACAACATGTCCTACAACAAAAACCACAGGCAGGACACATTTCCCAAGCACAGGTAGATTCGATTTTTGTATTTGTTTGCTAAACTGAGCCCAGAGATAATTGCATCCACCAGACAAGGACAGCAGCTGTTTTACTACAGGGAGCACAGCGATGGCACTAACCTAGAACCATGACATGACTGTATATTTTACAATGCCATTACCTCTACATGGTAAGGTACAACAGTACTCTAATTGTTCGTTATGCCTTATATATTTGTACCTCTACACGGTGCTTTTCAATCATTCAAATACATGTCTTGGTTGAACTAGCAATGCTTTAGTTAATTTTCCCATCTGGACTCATTTAATCTCTTTTAAAGCATAGCAATGATTTGTATTGCCTCTCTGAGGATCCCATTACATCTTTACTATTACATTATATTATTACATAATATATATTATATTACTATTATATTATATTATTATAGCCTTACCTACATGGTAGGTGGCCTTTACCACTTAATTATTTTTTGCCAGACTTACCACAGACATTGCCGCCTATCTTAACACGAACATAGCCATCTATTCCCCACGTAGGCCCCCAAGAGTTCTGTACAATCCAGTACGGGATACTACCTGGAAGAGACATTTCATGAATTAGAGACAACATGAAATTTGGGAAGCTTAAAAGACCCCTAACACTCTACAGAGGGAATTAGCATTCTATTATCTCATACTTTGCAATGGTTTGATGATACAGGCCAGTGAAACCAGTTGTTCAAACAGAAAACAGAACTAATATCCCAGTATCGAAAGACTGGATATGGCTCTTCTAGTGTAAAGACACATATAGCCATGTTCTTGACTTTACAAGGACAAAGTCCCACAGAACTAAAGTAGCAGTGACAAAGTCACTGGGATCAGACTGCATTTCCAGAATTGATGTGACATCAGACCAAACAGCTTTCAACAGAACAGCTGGTTCTAGATTTTAATCACTTGTCCCACAAAAGGCAGAGCTGCAAGTAAGAGAAAAACATGTAAAATCTACTGGGTTGAAGTTCAATTGATGGAAACGCACCTGTTCTGTCAAAACCAGTCACAAGAACAGCATGATTTGCTCTTCCACTGGAGCAGTGATACTGTATGATTCCACCAAGATAATCCTGCCAGCTAACTGCATCTACTGTTACTGCCAAAGGGCCCCAGTTAACAAGCATCCTCATCATTTCTTCTTCTTGACCGCTGTGAAAGGAATGAGGGATAATGCCAAGTTACTTCAGTTAGCACACTGAAGTGATTTGAGAGATTGTAATCTCCTTATTAAGTATGAATTAAAAATCAAATAATGAAACTGTTCCCTCTGAGTTCTACATGCCATGTAACATACATCTATAATTATATATTTCATATACCACAACACAGTAATACAAATATAGGACATAGAAACGACAGGAAAGGTGCAGATCCAAAGATATAATGCTATTAAAAAGCAGCAGGTTTCTGGGTCAAGTCAATGGGCAATGCTGAGCACTACAAATACAGCAGTAACCCAATTCCTAGTCAAATCACAGTTTTTGTCTTTAATTTCAGTATGCAGTTATACTGTACTGATAAAAATTAGAAACACAGTTTTTTCACACAGAAACCTAAAAAGCTAAAGTCTTCACACAATTCAGTTGACAATACTGTTTCTAAAGTCATGGGCTGGAGAAGATGTGGGTGGGTATGTAAACAGAGGGATACTGAAATAACTCAATATTTCCTAATTTTTTCAACAAATTCCAATTACTACAGGTAGGATTTACTGTTTCTAATAATAAAGCAGTATAATGTTCAGTAAACATACATTAGAAACTGTAACTGCCTCAACACTCCAGTTTATACACAGCCAATTTAAAAGAGCTAATTTCAAGCCACAGACTTAAGCTTTCTCATTTGAGTAGGCTTAGTTATGGCAGTGTTGAGTGGATTTGTAGTGGCAAGCCTTAACTCTCAAAAATGTTACACATTAATCCTTCTCCAGCACACAGCTACAGAACTGGTGCAATCAATCTCATAACCTTTGCCTGGTCAATGCACTATTCACTCTAGCTTACTCCACAATTGCTGAAGACAGAAGGAAAAGTACAGCAAATAAAAAGAGTCAATAATAGCTACCTGAAGTCATATGCAGCAAATCCTGTTATTGAAACGCCGAAATCTGAGCGATCAAAATAATGGCACAGTCCTGTCTGAGCTTTAAAAGTGTATTCTGAATCTCTCACGAGTTTCACTCTTGTCTGCAAGAAGACAAATGAGTAAGAATGTAATGCATTTGATTTTATCACTATGCAGTTCAAAACACATTGAAAATGGCCACATAACCCACTCAAAATTCAGTGTGTTCTGGGTGAGATTAGAAATGTCATATTGTGAAATAGGTATTTACTATCTCTAGTTTTCTTTTTCACTGAGAAAGCTTCAGAAGGGATTCAGAAGTCTTTAAATAATGAATAAAATTTAAAAGGTATCTCAGGTTTAAAGTAGCCTCATAAGCAATCTCATCAATTTCAAGACAGAGAGATATTCATTTGATGAATGACTATTCATTCTCTTCAAATGACTTTGACACACAAAATTATCCTCTCCTTGGGACAGTTCAAGAAGCACAAATATCCCAAGAAGCTATATAAAATACTGAAAAGTCTGATTCTGTTACTAGCATCAAATCCTCATACTATTATATTACATTTATATAATGGTTTAAAGTCCAGCAACAAAGCTATTGTATCAGCCTTTTATGCTTTCCTTGTCTTCTGCAGTACAGTATATTTATGACAGTGACTTCTCCAGCCTAATTCATTTGTGGTCCCTCTGTTGCCAAGCAAGACAGAATTTTGCTTCAGAGGAATCAAGACGAGTATCCTCTGTTGTTCTTGAAATACAAACTTAGACAAGTTATCTAGACCGTTATTAGTCATGGTTATATGAATATTCAGGAATTACAGTTTCTTAAAAAGGAAAAATGAGGGGTTTCTTAAACTTCAAAAACCAAAGGAATTATTTTCATATTCTTATAATTCAATCTAAGAGAGTACTTTTTATTTCAAAGATATTAAAATGTTTCTGTTTACATATGTTATTAACACACGTTTTTCGTTTTTCATGAATGAAATGTGTTAGCTACAACTGAAGTAGAAACTATGCCTGCATTTTCAATGTTTTGTGTTGCAAGTGAAACAAAGGTAAACATAATCCATTTTATTCTAAGGTTCTTCACACTTATACATAATTTTGCAGTGTTTGCAACAGAAACCATAGAAATTTTAATGCAGAAAATGTCAACATCCTTCCTAGATGCTGGTGCCTCAAATCCACAAAATGACATATGGATAAATGGCTCCATCTACACTGGTACTGTATGTCTGCAATTCCAGCTGAATTCAGGAACATTATTTTCAGCCCCTGAGGGCTGATTTGTTACATTCACAAGAACATACACGGACTATAAAGTTCCAACCAAATTTTAATTCTGCTTAAACAAATTCTCTCTTAGTTCCAGACTAAATAAATATGCATACATATTCACATGCACACATATGTATATGCACATACAAAGGTACACACACATCATATGAGCTCTACACTTCATCTTCCCCACCACTTTTTCCCAGTAAATAAGAATGGTAATATGAAAGCTAATGAAGGGTTTGAGATTTATAAAAAGTTCCAAACCTGGTTCAGCCAGCTCAGAGCACTAACAGTGGATCCTCCATTGCAGCCGTAATTATTGTATGAGCAGTCAATAACTTGCTGCACACTGAGCTCTTCCAAGTTGTTTCTTTTAATTGCATAGGCAGACTCTATACCACCCACAACGCTGAAAGCCCAGCAGCCTCCACACTGATAGAAAGGGAAACAGGAGAAAGAAAAAGTCACTTTTGTCTTTGAAGCCTGATATGAAAAGCCAAAAAGAGTCAAGAGTTGTCTAATGCTCTTCATTTACTAAACCATCCTTGAACTTTGATTTTAAGGCAATAATAAAGAAATTTAATCATCCATTTAAAATACTGAACTGTTTTTTCTCCTATACTGCTCTCTGAAAGCCAGAAATGCGTTATGGATGTCTTATTTCAAGGATTCCGACATTGTGGTTGTCTTACATTAAGGAATCCCTCCTGATGATTTTTGTCCTTTAAGATAGATCTGAGGATGCTTTGTACTGTGAGATATCTATTTTCTTAAAGAAGGATTGGGACTCAGGATGAAATTATTTTTTAACCACATTAGTAAGTTTTTGTAGAATTTTATAGAACTGTATTAGATTACAGTTTAAGAAATAGTAAAATCAAATTAAACATAATAGAAAAACTCTTAAGACAGTCACAGAATCTACACTGCAGTTCTAGGCTCTTAAAACTGAGGCCTTTAAATAGGAAGCAGAATTTATTCCTCATAGGGTCCAGGTTACACAGTGTGAAGCACAGAAGGGAAAGACACTGGGGATTTAACAGCTTGTTTCTCACCATTTTATCTTGGGATAAACTGTAGTTGTGTGGGGTCTGGTCACCTTCCTATCACAAATGCATCCCCTGACGTGTTCAGTGGTAAAGATATGGGTGTTGACCAGCCAGGGGCATTCGATCACGGGAACAAACAATAGGAAAGGATCTATACTCATCCAGGTAAACCGAGGCGGATGAGATCAGGTTTTAACTTACCTTGGTCCCTCCAGAAAAATACAAGACACACATGATGCAAAATACTTGCAGATTTAGTTAACTAAATCAAAAAATGTATTATGCACAGTTTATAAATGCACAGTTCCTAAACGCACCATTTTTACACCTCATCCTTTTAAGTCTAATCCCACTTCACATAAAATGCTATGTGACTTTGTATATGTTCAACTGGTCATATTTGTGCCAGCTCTCCAAGGAGTCTTGAGGCAGTGCTGGTCCTTTCCAAAACCTTCATTGTGCTCTACAGTCTACCCCCTGAAACTGTCTCTGAGCAGTGCTTGAGAACCAGGAAAGGAAAACATGAGGACTTACTGTTTGCTGATTTCTCACTTGTGCAATGACTTTCTTGTCCCTCCAGTCAAACTTCTTTGGCAAAGGTATTTCCTTTCCCTTTGGCACTTTTGTGTATCTGGGAAGTTTGTGAGGTATGCTTCTTAAGTAAATAGCTAAACACAGAATACAAACATCTATAAATCCACTAACAAAAAAAAAAATCCACAAACCACTATTTTACTAGAAGTCACAGAGGTAACTTTGATCTGTAGCTACAACCATGAGTTTAGATCTCATTTTCAAATCCAGAGAAAATTCACATATTTTAACATAATCATTATACTCCAGAATGAATGTAAATATTCCTATAGTTCCAGAAAGAAAAGGAATATTCTATATGGAGAATGTGGGTAGGAAATGTGAATATTTTCTAAAGTTGAACAATAACCACTCCATAAAACAAGTTTCGTTTGAAAATTTTCACATTTTACTGACTTAAAAAATACTATTTTATTTTAGTCAGGTACAAGGGGAAAGTAAGAACAGAATAAGGTAAAGATTCTGAAACACCCGCTAACTTGGTTTTTCACTAAAAAAGTTGCTGAATTATTTAAAATTTAAAAAGGAGTTAAATCCTCTGATAAATAGAAAATGTAGCAACAGACTTGAACAGCAAGAAGGGAAGATTAGGTTAGATATCAGACAAATTTTCTAGGAAAAAATAAAGCATGTTATATTGCTCTGGAAAGTCATAGCTGTGATTGTACAACCATGGACCTCCAAGCACTGTTTGGGCTGTAGCCAGTTTTGTCTTGGGATAGGTAATAGGAACTTAAGAACCTTGTGTATCTTCCACTTTTAAAACTGATGCAACTGAAGAAGGCTCTAAGGCACAGTGAGAAGAAAGACGGAAAGACAGAACTGCCTGTATACTAAAACATATTCAGACTGTGAGCAATTCAACATTGCAATACTGGAGGACATGAAAAGGATTGTTGCATCCTTCAGAAGTACTGATTTGGGTACCAGGCATTGTAAATTAGCTGACTATCAGCATGGGAAGAATCTGTAAATGTGAAAGACACAAGGTTCTGAGAAAGAATAACAAAAATATCAGAAAAGGCATTAGCAGCAACCAGAAAACGTACCTTTGAACTCGTCAGGAAACAGGTGAGAAAACTGATTTATTCCATAGAAAGCAGTTGTATTATCTTTTGATGATGAATTCAGTAATCTAATTCTTTTAGCACTTTCCTGAAGGAAAAAAAAATAATTGTGGGCATTTTTAAGTTAGCAGTAGTGACAAAACCATAAGAGCAGAAAAAGAAAAGGTTAGCAACAGTAAACACGAACTTAGATAACAAGACAGCTATTTACCTCAGATTCGCTGTGTATTCCTAGCAAACCAACATGAAAGCCATTAGGCTAATTTCAACTCCAAGAAAGATCAAAAATGCACTTGTTAAGTGCAAAGAATTGATATGAAGCAGACAAAACAGGCAAGCTGAGAACAAGTTGTGTCAAACTCATCTGATGTCCTTCCTTCACAGCACAACAAACCTTGTGGTTCAGAGGTGTAAAAATGCCTTCAGATAAGAATTAACCCCACCATGCTTCATGTCTTTATAAAGCAAAAGAAGAGCATAACAGCCTAAAGACATTAAACCCCCTAAACTTTATATTATTGGGAACCCCGGATCTCTGAAAAACAGGGTTTTGAGCTATGAAAACAGGACAATCTGATCCCCTTCAACTTCTGCTGACAAAGTTCAATATGAAATATATAAAATTTCATGCCACCTTCTGCGTTTTCCATGACGACTCCATCGCACCCCCTCAATGGCAATAGTGGTCTGCTAGTGCATCCTGGGCAGCATCACCTCGATCCTACCACACTGGAAGCCACCACCCGGGGCGGGAGCCACATCGGGCTGGTACCTCAGCCTGGTGACCATCCCCTGCCCCGTGAGACCGGCACCCGCCCGGAACGATGGGCAAAAGGGGGGCACTAGAGCAGGCAGGGCCTGCCTGTCTTTCCCCCCTTCTCCCGGTCGCCCCATATCCCTGGGAAACAGCTCTGGCAGCACGCTTCGTGCAGCCAGAGAGGTGACACCCGTTGGCATCCGGGCACGCGTGGCCCGGCTCGCACCTGCCGTCCGACATGGGGAAGGCGAGAACGGCAGCTGCCCCAATGCCAGCGATCTCAGGAGATGCGGATCTGGGGGATGCACCGAAGGGCTGCTGGGGGGGAGGGTTCCGGCACTGCGGGCTCAGGAACCTGCCGGTCCGCCTTTCCTCCGCCTCCCGGCCAGCAGCGGCTGAGCGGCACTTGCCGCCCCTCCTCCTCCGGCGGGGCCCGACGGCAGCGGTCCCGCAGCGCGGATCGCGAGTGAAGAGCGGGCTCGGATACCTACCCGGAGGGCCGCCGCCGCCTCTTGCTCCCGGCCGCCTCTGTCCCACGGAGGGCGGCCCCGACCGCCGCCGCCCTCCTTCCCGGGCCGGGTGGCTGCAGGCGCCGGGAGGGCGGCACTGCCCGCCTGCAGCTGGCAGCAGAAGAGCGCCAGCAGCCCCACGGACCGCCATGTCATGGCGGGGTGCGACTCGGCGGGCGCACCGCCACCCCGCGGGCTCTGAGTCCCTTCGGTTTCCGTGGCAGGAAAGGGGTGAACCCTTCCTTCTTCCCAGCCGGTGCCCGGAGGCTGCGCCCCACTCCCAGGCCAGCGCGGGGGCCGCTCCCCGCCGGGGAGGGACGAGGCGGGGCATGGAGTAGCGCCCGCCCGGCACGGCGGATGTAGTACCGTGTACCCCGTACGCGGCTGGGACTCAGCGGTAGCCTGCAGAGCTCGTGTTTCCAGCCTTGTTTTTTTTCCGTGGGGGAGACGCGCGCGAGGCTTGCAGGGCTGCAGACGGGGGGTGCTGAGCGTTCAGTCAGCTACTGGTTAAAAGTTCGTGCAAATCCTTCACCGAAAGTTAGTTGGTACCTGCAAACTGGGCTGCCAGTAAGAAGGGGAAGGCGTAGCTACTACGTCTTTGGGACGGCAGGAATACAATTTACAGGCTTCAGCAAGGGAAGGTACGGGTGGGGAGAGAAGAGCTGCACAGCCAGTGCCCCCAGCATCTGGGTTCCAGATATGAATCAGGTTATGCTAAAAAAAAAACATGGAGAAAAACCTGTGTCTGCTTATGGTGGCTCATTGGTTTCCTTGGAGACTAGTCGTGCTGAAACTTGAGCAAGCAGGTCAGTGTTTGCTGTTTAAAGACTTCATTAGGCTAGTATGAGTTAACATAGTCGTCTCTTAATTTCCATCACCGGGTACTTTTACACAGAATAAGTAGGATATTTGTATGTTTAAATCTGCTCTATGTTTCATCTCTCTCTCTTGCTTTTCCACCCTGCATCAGCTTGTAAACAAAACGTGAAAGCACAGGTGCCTTCTCCTGTAGTGCCAGTAGCCAACTTGGCAATGCTGTGCTTGGAAACGCAAGGCTTTTCTCAGGGTGAAATTTTAAGAGTCAGGGTGCAAATTTTTACTGCTGTCCCTATCTTGTGTAACAGCAAACTTTTGTTGGAGTTTGTAAAGGGTGATGTGTAGAATTGTGCCAATACATGTTCTTTCATTTTTTCAGCATGTAGCATTCAATAGTTTGGATATGAAAGAGAAGTTATACTGTATGAAACACAAGAGATCTGTGTATCTTTAGTTTCTAATTCCTTTCTGGGATAGTAACTCCTGTTTGAGGGGATAGTTCAGCAGTTTGAGTGCTTGACTGATGTCTGGTATCTCCCCAATGGTGACGAAGAAGTATGTAAATAACTGTGCTTCATTTGCTATTTTTCTTTAAAATGAGCAACTAAACAGGAATTATACAAAAAAATCCCCAAAAAACCAAAAAAAAAAACCCCAAACCCCCTCACTTTTCTGCAGTAAGATTACAGTACCAGAGTTGTTTTCTAATCGGGGAAGGGAGAACAAAACCTAGCACTTTAGTCATGAGATGAGGACGTCTTTCAGTCTACTCCATTGATAAAGGAGAACTTGTGTTTGTTTGCAGAACACTTATTGTGCAGGTACCTTTTCTTTATGAGGAAAAGAAAAAAAAATCATTATTCTGCTTTGTACCTGGAATTCTACTTATTTCCGTAGTGAAGAGAGAATTTAACATTTAGCACCACTCGTATGGTGGCCAGTAGATTAATGATGAAATAGTCATGGCAGCTCAGGAACCTCTTGACTAAATAAAAGTTGATGATTTGATCCCTCCAAATAGCTTGTGTCCAGGGTTGAACAAACCTGCGGGGATCGTGATCCAGCTCTGCCTTTGCTTTCCCCCTTCCCATGGAATGGCTGTTGGGGAATTGTCTGAACTGCTGCCCATTTTGGTACAGGGAGGGCTATTTGTGTCTTATAGCCAGAGTATGAGAGGGCTTGTTAACAGAGCAGATTTTATTGATTATTCTGTTATGGTTTATCATTGTAAACACAGGATTGGCATAGGAGATGTTATTACAATTTATTACAAACTCATATTGACATAATGAAGTCTGGGATCAACATAGGGACCAGATAGGATGAAAACAGTAGCATAAGATCTGAATTGTGAAACCTTTCTAAGGATGGTCTGAACCTCAGCAGCCAAATTCTGAAACCAAATCCATCAAACTGTAACTCTGAGCACTGAGACCCTTGGGAGAAGTGTAGGATAGTGGCTGGCAGGAGTGTCAAAAGAAAGCTTGATATAGGCACCGTAGCTTTGGATGTATTGATTATGAAAGTAACAGAAGCCTTAATGCAACAGTTGCATGATTTTATTCTCTATGGTATAGCATAATGGGAATAGGAAAGAAGTTACTTTAGCAGTTAGTGTAAGCAGCAGAAAGATACTGAAATTATGTTTTATTTCAAAACATGCTTTTCATTAAAGTTTTCACATTTTCCACCAGGCTAACGTGATCAACTTTTACTAAATTGGCTACTGGCCTTGAAATCTATTGCTTGGGAATTATGATTATCTCAAGATGAATACATTTTCTTATTTTTAATATATAGTCATTAAATTTCAAACCAGTCAACTTAGCTTTAATAGAGCAACGAAATAAGCTTTCAGTTATTTTTCAGTTATTATTTCCATGGACTATGCCCTATTAATAAAAGGCGAAGTTGTCTTGATTGGAGAAGCTGTTTTATTTTGTATGTAGATTTCAGGGGTTACTTTTCCTGTGGAACACATGAGGGCAGCAAAGGACTTCTGCAAAGTTGCAAACCATGCAGCTTTCATTTTTATTTTAATTAAATAAATCTCAAACAAATGAGCAAAAAATCCCTCCCTATTTTGGGAAAACAGATAGATGGATTTGCATTAAAAATTCTGTACAGCATAGCAAGAGGAAAACGTGTCTTTCTCCTGGATTTACCCTCTGTGTACTAAGTAGATGTGTCAATTTATCTTATTCAAGAAGAGAGAGTGTTAGAAAAGTCAGTGTCTTGTCTGATGACTGGCTGAGGGACAATAAAGTGTAATGACCAGCCAGTAGGTGACTGACAGCCAAAGTGTTTCAGAAGGCTTTATTTTTCCAGTGAACTACCGTGCTATTAAAGCACTTTGTGTTTGTGTTTAGATGAACAAAATCACACCAAAGTACATAGAGAGCTGTATCTATAGGCATGCAGTCCCTGCTCTGTTTTGAATTACTCCAGTGTAAATTTAGCTATGCTTCCTTAAGATAAAAGAAAATACACTTGTAAAAATAATACCAGATTCAGGCCTGTAAAATGAATAGAGTACAAAGGTGTTAGCTTTTTTTTCGTTGTTGTTTGCTTTGGTTTTTTTGTTTGGTTGGAGTTTTTTAAAGGCTTTATAGATATAGTTCTTATTGCTTCATTGACACAGGTAAGCCATATATTAGTGACACTAGTCACACCAGACAGGTGATGAAAATCTTTTTATGCCTTTTTTGTTGTTGTTTTGTTTTGGTTTGGTTTTGGTTTGGTTTTGTTTGCTTGTTTTTTATTTTTTGTTGTTTTTTTTTTTCTCAGAAACTCTGATTTAGAATTTTATAATTGTCAATGCTTATTTTAAAATATATTTTAATGAAATTTTATGTATCTCTAATAACCATTCTGGCTATTCATTAGAAGTATTTGATAAACTGAAAGATTGCATGCTAAAGGAAGAAGCAATAATGAACATACATTTAGGAACCTCTAAACTCATTGTAAGATGTTTTCTTTAAATGGAAATATTCCTTTCTTAAGAGAATTTGCTTCTCATCAGTTGCAAAACACCTATTTCTAAAATTTGTCATAATATAGCAGTGTAATTAGTGGGAGAATTTTTATAGTATTACAAGGTAAGATTGAAAGAGCATGTTAATATTTACTAGTCAGGCTTTTTTTTTTTTTCCTTACTCCAGTGATTTTTGCATCACTGTTTGAAATAGTTAATTGAGTCTTGTTAGACAGCCTAGCTTCAGTGCTCTTTGGCCTCTCTGTTTATAATTATCATAGCGAACAGGGCAAAATACAATAAATTACTTCTGAGTTGAAGACAGGTCTGCTGAGGATGGGTGCTGCTGCTGCTAAGGGCAGTAACAAGATGTTTTAATGGACCTTTGGGTAGGAGGGATAACTTTATAGTGCTTTGGTTGGTATCTACATAGCAGGAGTTTGGACTTGTGCCTTTTGCATGCATACATGATGTTTAACACATGGAAAATAAATCCATTTGTATTGTGCAGTCCTCAGCCTCAGAGAGGAATAATCTCAATCCACCAGATGGAGCTGAGCATCTTTTCTTAAAAAGATTTGTTGGGAAAAAATATTTCAGGATAAGTCCAAGGATTTGCTTATTTTAAGACCTGGCAGAGATCTTGTTTCCTAATATAGTTGCACTGGTAAGAATTTTTAAATGTAAGCAAAGCAAATGAGAATTGCAATCTTGGGATGAAATCTGTTCCTGCTTAAGCCAATTTAAGGGTAAATAGGTGGCGATAGGTGGCGTTGCTATAGCTAATGTTCAGAAGTTGTCTTTTCTGGGCCCCAAGGTAGACTTTTTGAAATTTGTGAGAATCAGAGAAAATTACACATGATAAGAGTTGGGGTTGCAGGAATAACCAAACTGTCCAAGTGATTGCCTTAGCTAGATCATGATAAATATCTGTGTTGACCATGGAGTCTCTCCTGGTAGAATGATCTTCCTTTGCAAATAAAGAAATAACTGTAGGATCTGCTTCTGAAGCCTGACTCTTCTGTATCTCAGCTGAATATTCTCAACACCAGTAAGTCTCTAGCTCTTTTAAAAATGTTTTTCTTCAATTTTGTTAGTAAGGGGTGAATTGTGAATGAAGAAGGCTGGCAGTGGAACTAATAATAGAAATCAAACAATGAATCAAAAAATTGAAGATGCAGAAAGGAGCAACACCTACTCTGAGAGAGACTGAAGTAAGAAGTTTTAGGGAGATGTGAATTGGCTTTTCTCTGAGAAATCTGATTTTCTGGTAGTATGATTTTCTCTGTCTTCATTGCCAGTCCCACTTGCCAATGTGTCTATAAATTGACATTAACTGTTATCAGCGGAGAAAATTTCTCAGGTCCAGGTCATCAAGAATTATTTTCCTCTTGCCTTTTTTTTGTCTTTTTAATATTTTGTTATCCTCAGAAAGTGGGTTAAGTAGTCAGCTTTTCAGAAAGAAATTCGGGCAATATTTGATGCAGCGTGTTTTAAGGGCACAAACA